TGACTGAATGAAAAGCATCGTTACTTTTATTTTTGAAGTTCGGATTTTGATATCATAGAAAAGTTGAATTCCTTTTCTACCTGACAGGTGCAGCGCAATTACATTCTCGTATTAGTTGTATGTTTCATTAATTTAAAAAGTATGCGATTAAACAGTGGACGTACTACAGATATATCCAAAATAATTAAAAGTTTTTTTGTTAAATCTTAACGTTCATATTATTGTTTAGATTCATGTATTGTTAATGACCCTGTTTGAAGTAAAATCCGAACTTCGAAATCTGAATTTCGTTGGTAGCAATTGTAGTGTGCAACAGTAATCAGTCAACACCAAGCATATGATAAATGATTCTAATGTACTATGGATTGAATGAATTCGAAACTATCTTATTCATTTCTGATATCTTCTCATTACAGCAACATATCGCCTTTAAAATCTAATATAGTATATAAATGGCAGAGGCTATATATATGCATTGGAATACTTTTTTAATTGGGAACAGTGATTTTTTTCATGTTATTGCGATGATTCTAGTTGTCGTTTTAATTACAGACAATATACTCTAATAGGGTTTTCGTCTTTTTCTATTTGCAGATTTGTTAAAATACTTCTACAAATTTCATTATAAATGATTATGACTTCTAACCAGAACATTCTATAAGCGACAACAATGGTAGAACTGGAAAACAACGACTTAATGTTTTTCAAAAACAGTGTTTACGGATTAACGTTTTGTTATCATAGAAAGACAGCTAACAGTCACCTTGGCTGTTAGTCTTTCCACTATATTCTTGCACAAGCTCAAATACTGCTGTAGGCTATCTACTGTTATCATCTGATGTAGGATTTTCACATCCTTCCTATTTTAAAAATTCCACCCTCGTTTTCTACTTCTGCAACTTTTTTAGTCTTGAGCATTTATAGTACACTCTTAAGTATGCAGAAAAAGAATTCAAGTTATTTAGTTTGTGACCGTCTTTCTTAGGTCCAATATTTAAATATACTTATGGTAATGAAAGATTGTTCTGTTATTCACTTTCTTCCAGTTCAATAATTCTTTACCTTCCGCTGCGACGTAGTTCTTATTGTTCCGAATAAGAATTATAGATAAAGCCAGTGAGGATCGATAGAATGAAATTGATAGTTCATACGACCGGAGATTTCGGGAGTATGATCGTTTATTTGGTCTTTTACAAAACGGCCCTTTGTACCAAATTTTATTAGATGGTTTGTGATCATCTTTGTTAGACTCTGTATGTTCAGTATGTAAAAAAAATTCATTATTCGTTAAGAGATTCTCAAAGATCGCATGTTGTCTGTGCTGTAAATAATTCTGTAGTTCTTCAGGAAAATTTCCCATAGTTTCGTTTTGAAGCAGGTTGTTGAGAAGTTAAGGTTACCAAATACATCCAGATTCAACGTTAGTCCTGCAAGCATCGTTGTTCGGACCAGGAATTTTCATAAACCAGCACTCACATTCTTCTGGTCTGAATGGGCATTGATCCCAATTCAACGTTGTTTAATTTGCAAATGCAAATCTTTGCCCTGCAAATTTGTTTTACAGATCTGTAATGGTTTTGTGATTTCACTTGTAACGGTTATGGAAGAACATACTCGATCACACCTAACGCAGCCATCTTACCGGTTAAATTGATTCATTCAAATCCATATTTCATAATGACTAATAGACTTCAAATTTAGTTTAAACTCAGCTCTGAAAAACTAAAAGCTAGATAGGAAGCGATGCATGCTTAATTGAACCGAGAGTAAAAGCGTTATCGAAGAGAACGAAGCCATGCTTTTGTATGATATTCACTTGCAGTTGTTCTGTTGGACATTGCACACTGAAGCATCATTCAAAAAATTTCTTAACACGACACATGAAGGAAGTTCACAAGTATAAGCAGACTCCAACAGATATCATAGAATTGGATCCATCTCTGAAAAAAGAGTTTTGCAGAGTTCGTTTAATATCCATTTTATATTTATGAGCTATCGAAAACTCGACTAGGATGGATTAAATGAGAGTTAAAAACTTATATCATAAGTTCTTATAGCCTTTTACTCCATACTAACGAGAAATGCTGAAGCAAGTTATTACGTAATTCTGATCCTATTAATAATCCTACTTAATTGTGAAGGACCATTGGTATGAACGATTTGAGTTATGGAGGGTTCTTACTTTTCTTTTCAAAACAAATAGTGAAATATATAAATGGAAAATCTGTTCTATCTTTAATGACAGACACGCCTGATAAAACTGACTCGTTCTATTTCCCATATTCATACACACTCAAAACTTCTAGAAAAAATCAGTATAACCATGAACAGCGCTACATTAAATACATATCAGTGAAAGACTCTAGCCATGATCACGTGTTCCTGAAATGAATCTTCTATATTGACTTATTGCAGATCGCATCTCGATGTTTTCCCAATCATTTTTCGGATCATCTTTCTTCATTTCATATTTTTCGGCGATCAGTATCACAGTCTCCATTATTGGAATCATTAACAGAAACAAACTGGTGTATTCCATCTACCTGTTCTGTTCCTTCAGTTATGCAAAATACTGCCTTATCGATGTCAACTTTAACGTCCACGTTTGAAACGTTCAATTCTCCAAGTCTTAAACCAACATCATCACTACTTACTGCTATACTTCCCTTGAATTTGACGCTTCAAACTTCAGCACCATCCAGTGATGTTGCGCTGCTGCTTCCAACGGCTCCTATTCCTTCGAGAGATACACCTCATTTCAATGATCCAATGGGCATGTCTAACTTTCCAGTAACCAATCTTGAATGTCAACCATTTGTTTTCCATGAAGAAGAACACAGTTCGTCAAATTGCATAACATTAACCAATCTTCTAGCAGCTGCACCAAAAAATAGTCCTTCACAGGTTCTCTTCTTTATCAAGCACTTAGGGCTTAAACTAAATTCCGGTCCGTTTTGTGCTATAGAGCTGACGAAAATTACTTCATCACTAAGTTGATCATTTCACCGTTCCAGACACGTGTACAATCAATAATATATCCACCGACACCACGGAAAACCTGCAGCTTTTGCCAAGAAGTATTCGAGGGTGAATATTTAGTCTTGTACAAACATGTCAAGCAGCATTTAAGCTTACTACCTTATGAATGTTCGGTATGCAAATTCGCCCATGTGGACAGAATAACTATCCAGGACCATATTTCTCACTATCACTTGCAAGCTACTCTTGTTGACAGGTAACTTTCTTCACAAGAATTCTAGATTGCCATATGGATAATTACACTTAACCGAGAGAAACGCAGTTTATATGGGAACAAACTGATTGATCAAATAATCTTGGTAATCTCTTGGGCCACATTTTTATATAAAAATATTACGAGCGTTTACGTGAAATGTCCCATAAGATTTAAATCACGAATATCACTAAAAACGCTAAAAAAAAAGTCTTCACAATTATTTCAGAATGACAGACTCAGTATCTCGACAGTGTTCTGCGCTGTTTACAGCCTGCTTTCCGGATGTCCCGCTGCAACCATTATTGCATGACACTGTACAAAAATGAAAGCTGAAAATTAATTGCTCTGATTCCGGAACGAAATTTATAGGAAAGCTGAATTGTGTTGCATATCGTTATATGTTACAAATTACTGCGAAAATGTGTTAGATTTCTCAAATGTTTTGTTAACTATGATTTCGTTGCTTTTTTTCTGATTGACCACAAATTTCCGTTATTTTTAATAGTTGTGTTGTTATGAAAGTGATGTTTTTTGCTAAACAATTACAGGAGTCAACAGTATGAGAATGAATGCAAATATGAAAACAAAAGTTTTCACAGGAGAAATTAATTTTCCTTTTAATATCTCATTTTATAATTTTAGTAATTCGCCTTCAAAAGAAGATGAACTTGATTTTGAAAAAATTCATGGAAGAAAAGAAGGGAAAAGAGAAGAAAGATGTCAGAAATTAGTCAAAGAATAATTCGAAAATTACCAATCGGTCGATCGAATTTGTGTGAGAATGTTTCGTGGCGTTTATCGAAATTAATTATGACTTGCAAACAAACATCCCTCTCCGTATAATATTAAACCGTGTTGCCTTTCTGTGTATGTTTAGTGGAAAAGATAGATGTGTTGTCTAAAGGCTTTTTTTTGAGAATACTAGACCAACATCCTTCTTTCTGTTTATTCAAGTTAACGGCCCGAACAGCTTCCATTTCCACTGTCGTAATAAACGAAGTGAATGTTATCCAGATAACTAAATGAATTCACAATCGATTGATGCTTCGGCTGTAAAACTGTGCATCAGTGTGTTGCATCTTTTCTCTGCTCGTTTTTTAATTGCCTAGCAATTTCTGTGTTCGAGGTTTAGCAAATTTTTAACATTTGCTACACTCAACATTCGTCGACAGCTATCTCATTGTCTGTTTATTTGTTTCTTGCTTAATTAACTCTCTCTCAATTCATTAGCTGATTCATTATAAAAAGTAATCGCTTTAATGTTCAATGGTCTCTCCGAAATGAAATCCAGAAAAGCTCTTCATTTTCAATCAATATTCGGTTAGTGTGATTGGTCATTGAACATTGATTAATCTCCAGTCATTTTTTTTTTTTAATTTAATGCGCAGTGTGACGTATGTGATGTGACGTGGGGCATATATTTGTTTAACAATTTTATTATAACATTCATTCAGCCGAAATTCTTAGAATTCTGCAGGTCTGTTTGAAAATTATTTTGTCATAAATAAAATTGTTATTGTAAAACCACCAAATTCATTTCTGCAAATGATGTACTAATATGATAATAATCTACAAACAACATGCTGATAACCAATGGCCAGCAAACTTTTACTAAAGTAATCAATGTTTCCTTCCCTTCCTACTTTGGCCTTTTGATTAATTTTCTGTAAATTCATTATCACGTTAATTTGGCTTCCTGACGTATTCCCAAATGTTATATCTAAATACAAATCAATGTTTTAATGAAAATATGAAAATAGTGAGAATGAATGGATGGATGATATTCTTGGAAATCTGCTGGGCAGTTTCAGTAATATGGCCTCTGCCTGCTGATGGACTGTGTGGTCAAGATGCAGGTCGCTTAATTGAGGATCTTCTTGCCGACTATAATAAACTTGTTAGGCCGGTGGAAAATGACAGTGATACGCTGATTGTTCGCCTGAAACTGAAACTTTCGCAACTCCTTGACGTTGTGTGTGATTTGACAATTTGTTTTCCTTTAGTGTTTGTAGGATAAGCTTAAACTCATTTTGGTTGATAACATTAATCAACCAGAGCACATTCCTTATTGTAAGAACTGAAATACTGGGAATGAATGGCAATTTATCCATTCAAAAAGGCTAGATAAAAGTTGAACAGAATAAGGACAAAAATCAAACTGAATGCAGCAAAGTAGATTTTGGATTCTGAATTTGAAATGAGCTATTTATTTAACAATACCATGTTTGTTTTTTCTTTCTATGATTCTTTTCACTCGAACTATTTTAGCATGAGAAGAATCAAATAATGACGACAAATGTATGGCTGCAACACGTAACTTTTTTTCATACTTTTCAGTTTTTAAAAAATAATTTACCCCCTTCTGATAATGTTTTATTACTTATTTCATGATGATGATTTTTAATCAGATATTTATTTTAATTAGGAATTTATGATTTTTAATTAGATATTATTTTTTTCGAGCTGGACTGATTACAAATTAAAGTGGAATCCCGCAGATTATGGCGGAGTCACTGTATTATATGTGCCTTCCGACATGATTTGGCTACCTGATATTGTTCTTTACAACAAGTGTGTTTTCAAACTCTTTTTTCTAACATGAGATTAAGCTTCCTAAGTGAGAAGACATAGGATAGATAAATAAATATGTGCATGCTTTTATTGCTTTCGTTTATATCTCTGAGCTAATTTCCTATAAATAATAAGAGAAATGTGAAAAAAAAAGAAAAAAAGAAAGTATAAATTTCATCAAGCAGTGCCATCTTTCCAAGGAAACCACTTGTCAGGCGCATATGCATGAAAAATTACTTTTAGCGCAGATGGTAATTACCAAGTGTCAATAATGACAAAGGCAAAATTGTCACCCAATGGTACTGTCGAATGGTCACCTCCTGCCATTTACAAAAGGTCCTTTATATTTCAGAACCCATTAGATGAAATTCTACTCAGTAATTAAATATTGCAATTTATTGCATACATTGAATAAGGTACATTCAAGATATACTGAGTATAAAATATTCTTTCCTCAAAATTCTCAGAAAGTCTTCTGATAAAAATAAGGAAGCAATTACTGGCTACCTGAAAGAGATAATTTAAATGTTAGATTTCGACGATCATTTTAATATAGTTAGGTTTTTGTTCCAGCATGTGTCAAATAGATGTGGAATGGTTCCCTTTCGACATACAAACATGTGAAATGAAATTTGGTAAGAAAAAATCTTTTTATTTAGCACTTTGAATTTGTAGATAACCGCAAATTTATTTCGTGAAAGTTTTCTTGCCATTTTAAAAAACATTAATACAATGTAATGGTTTGAGAAAATCAATTCAGTAAGTCGACGGTAGATCCTGTGGTTTAAATGAAATTCCATAGAATATCTCAATTTGGAAAATAAATATCGAAATCCATGGACCTTTAAATTGATAGCACTTTCGGTTCTCAGGGAGATATAAGCGATATGAACCACCTATTCATTGCGAAAGCAGATCCAGTTCATAACAAAAAAACCACTTATCTTTTTTCAATTGGCTTAAAGGTTCTTGGACTTATGGTGGCTTAGAAGTTGATTTGCAACATAAAGATTCACATATTGAAAGAGCGGAAACAGAAACATTGCTTGGCTTTGATGGTCATTATGACGAAACTGTTTGGATTGTTAATGAAGGTTGTGCATTTTACTTACGAATAGAAGTATGGAATTATTGAAATAGAAAAATCAATTAAATAATATTGTCAAAAATGAAACTGCTATGAAAGGATTTAAAGAAAAGCTGCTGAATATTGTTATATTTGCTTCTTCTACTGCTGAAATTAAAACTAAATTTTAGGAATTGACTTAAGTGATTATTATCCAAGTGTTGAATGGGATATACTTGGCGTGCCGGGCAAACGCCATTTAAAAAGGTAACGGTAAGGTTATACTACCTACAGTCGATTTAATTGCATATTTGCGTACTTTTGATGGAAAGAAATCAAGTCATTCTCATAGATCATGTAAATTTATACAAAATTTGTAGTTATCTCTTGTACCCTAAACAGTTATCATTTACAGATATCCATGCTGTGAATCACCTTTCATTGATCTGACATATGAGATACGGTTGCGACGCAAGACGCTGTTTTACATCGTCTACTTGATCTTCCCAATCGTTAGCATTAAGTAAAGCTTTATTTTAAACACGGCAAAGGTTCATTAGCGAAAAGCTCATGATGTAGTCAAATGTTAAATTTCTTATTTGTATTTATCAGTTGATAATTGTAGTTTTTCAGTTTTTTAACGGTGCTAGTGTTCTACTTGCCTTCAGATGGCGGTGAAAAAATATCACTTTGCCTCAATATACTCATTTCACTCACTATATTTTTCTTATTGCTTGGTAAGCTTCTCTTTTCAATAAATCTAAAGCTGAATTTAATGAAATGAATTCTTTTTTAAATTTTTTGTTCTTTTTAAATTAACAGAAATATTCGTTGCAGTGGAAATAATACCATCAACTTCACTTGTTATACCTCTTATTGGTAAATATCTATTATTTACAATGGTGTTGGTTACTTTATCTGTTATTGTAACAGTTATAACACTGGTATGTTTAATTTTACAACAAATTCAGCAATTTGAAACAGAATAGAACTTAACAGCTTCATTAACTGTTGCTTGATGAAAAGTGATATGAATTTTACCACAGTTCTTTTCATATCTCTGCATGCTATAATGTTTGCTAATAGTGCTTAATACATTTCGAAAAACATTTGTATTTGAAAAATTGGGATTCTGTTTCTAAATTCCTATTCTGACATATGAGACCAATGGAAAGATTTATAATACGATATTTCTAGAATATCACGTTATTATCAAAGTTCTCTGTATAAAATCCATTTAATTTGGATATTTATTTTATAGAATGTGCACTTCCGATCTCCCTCTACTCATACAATGCCAGAGTGGACTAAACGAATTTTTATCGAATTTTTACCCAAATATCTTTTAATGAGACGACCATCACCAATAAAAATCATCAGAAACAGCTCTACTAACACGGTTTGCTTACTCTTCATTTCTTGATATTATAATGTAAATATAATATGCTGTGGCGTGATGTAGTATATCGCTGTGTTGAGATACTTGAATTTTCTCAGCACAAGAAGTGGAAAACAATGACTGGTAACAGTAGAAATTGAATGCTGTAATTTAATTTGTTAATATTTAAAGCAAATAGATGGTAATAGTAAATTTCACTACAGTCGAACTATAGATTTAGCAAACAAGTGATTTCAGTTCACTATTCCCAAACGCCACGACAGAAAACTGTTAAACTTCAGTCGACCACGTGACCACACAGTTTCCGCTTTATTTGATCAGGTGCTGTTAAGCGCATTAAGTCGAAAAGAAAAATTCTTATGTATTATTATTATTATTATTTTATTGTTTATTATTATTATCATTACTAATTATTATTATATTACTGACTTTTTTTGATTCGCTAACTATCCTTTTTTCTGGAAACAATAACAAATATTATCACCGAAATTCTGTGAATATAAAAAATTGTTGAGAACTGAAAAATTGTTTAGATGGATTTCTTATCTCCGGCTTATCGATCATCATTTTGTACAATGAGAAGTCATGACGGTAGCAGTTTCGCAAGCTTCCAAAAAGAACTTACACCAGTGATGAGCGCCGTTGATAGTGTCACATTTATTGCCAGTCATATGAAGGATGATAAAAATGGCCAACAGGTTTATTCATATTTATTTTTATCGTAACATTTACGATTAAGACCTTCTTTTAATCTCGTATTAATTGTTAGAAAGAATCAAGAATAACCGAAAGAGTTCTTTTATAAAATGAATCTAGTATTTTTACTGTTCCTGAAGTCTACGCTTAATCTAACTTATGAGAACAATCCTTTTTAACCATTCCAATCATAGTGAAGAAATTTGCACCAACTGAGAAGAGAGAAACGAAAATTTAGATAATCGAGGACTGGAAATATATATCCGTTGTGATGGATCGATTGTTCCTCATACTATTTACAACAGCTTGTATGATCGGCAGCATTCTCATCATACTACGGGCCCCAACCCTTTATGATACAACTATTGCATTGGCATAATGAAGTAGTTGTCACAGTACTTTTTATATTTGAAGAATTTAAGCAAAATGCTTGTTTTTACAACTTACATTTATCGTATGCAATTTTCCAGTGCCTTTTCCTTTTAGGAAAATGCATTGTAAATTTACTAATATATATATATAATTATATTATTATCATATTTTCGAATCATGAATTTGAAATTGATTAATTAATCTGGCAATATTAGTTAAAATAACAAGATTATTGCTAAGTATACTTAAGGATGCCCTCCGAAATGTTCTGCTGAGTTCTCCGATAAGTCTCGGTTAGGTAATTAGTTTATGAACTTAAAGTAATTAGATCATTGGCTATTAGATTCCTTATAGCAATTGCTACTGTAATCTGCCGCCAAATTAATTAGATGCATGTTTTGGTAACAACTGTTGAGATTCTTTACATTTTCTTAACAGGACTTTTCCATTTCTAGCTCTATTCTGTTTATATCTCGATAAAATGACTTACTAGCAATAAATTACGACATACATCATTTATTTTTTCTCCAACATACATAGTAATTTGCAAATTTATTAAGTGATTTGCATATATATCACATTTTTGAGGACTTCTGAATTTTATTCATAAATATATGAGACGAGGTTTAAGTTGAACAGAAAGGAAGGTGTTATAACTTTTCTTTTTGTCAATATGGTCTATAACCAATTTCAAGATAACTTCCATACAGAAAAACTAAAAGCTAGAATCCATGGAAATGAAGATAAGTACAACGAAGATTTCACAGAATAAGTGTTAGTGATTTTTTTCAGAACTATATGACTAGACAAATTAGTAATGAAACGTGTATGTCAGTAATCAGTAAAATTATTCAACTGAGTGATGCATACAATTGAAGGAAGAAGATAGCAACAAAAAAAGAAATCTTCATTGCTAAATTAATCATCATGAGGATCCAGGAACCAAGTACCATGTTTTAACGCTGCAGACCACATTTCATTTTGCAGTCTTCTCATTAATAAGAGTTTTGGTGGTTCCGATTCCTTGAATGGTTCCCATCTTAAACGAATCATAAGTCGCCGCTATTACTTTGTTTTTTTGAATATCAGCTGGTCATTTATTTCATAGAAGGATTTCTGTTTAAGGTATATTGCTTCAAAGAGTAAAAGAATTAGCTGCCTGTTTAAAACATTGTTGATATATTAAATTTTAATATATAAACGTATGTTTGTGATTTTACATATTTGTAATTATTTATAATTCAATTAACACACGATTAATATATTTGTAATTAATTAATATATTAATATGCGTATACATTTATAACAACAACTAATATATTTATAATTCTCTTCTCTCATGTAGTCGCAACTACTGTACGAAGACTTCAATTCATTAAAAATGACTGTAGAAAATGATAACATACGCAAATGCATATTTATGGCTGAATCGATCTTCAATTGTGCACCACAGGAATTCTCGATTTCCACCTTTCCAACCTGCAATGAATAAATAATCAAGCGCTAACACAGCCAATGCCAGCATTTTCTAGAATTTTAGCTGCGAAATCTCTATGAAGTCAGTTTCTGATACATCATGGTATTGTTTAAAATCTTCCTTTTATTTTCACCTATGTCCATTTAAGGGCGAAGTTGAAGCCGTGTAGTCCAAAAAAAAAAAAGGCTATTTTACGAAGTGTCGACTAAGAGGAATGATTAGATACCATTACTCTGAATTCTTTTCATTAAGTGCTGAACGTAAGTGCAGTTGCAACAAGAAAACTTCGATGGATAACCCTGAGTTCTGGTAGATGCTGATGAATATCAGAATGAAAAAACATTCATTTCCTACTAAAAAGATAATTGTTGATTATAAATGATAATTGTACTTCTGTCAGTTATAACTTCCACTTTTTTAAGGCCATAGATCACATAAAACGTAAGTAGACATAGAAAACCACTCATTTGAATATGCAGAGGAAATGTTTCATTGCCATGCCAGGTATAGTGATGTCCATAATATCTGCAGCTGATTTCATTTTCTGCGAATGCTTTAAGGTTTTTTCATTAACTCACGAAACTTTGATTACAGTAAGTCATCCTATTAAAGCTAACATTCCTCATTTATCCTTAAAAAATAAATTGGATATGAATAGATACCTCCACAAACCATCAACACCCCTAGACTTGCAGAAATCGGTCTTTTGGAGAAAATCGTCCCAGTTAGCTCTCCACTTTCTTTGAATTTTTGTTGAAGAGGTTAATTGTCGCTTGGTTCTTATTTTTTCCAAAAAATAAGGCCTTAGAGTCAAGCAAGCCAACCGCATCATAAAATTTGTCACTATGATAATGAAAGTCACTATATGTTTTATGCATTTTTATCTGGCTCGGAGAATTTCCTTAAGTTTTCTCTGCATACTTATCATTAAGAATAAACATATATTCTTAACAGAATTAAAAATTTTTTATTGCTAATTTGTAGTGCAAATTATTAGTTAAGTAGTGAATTGAAGTTATCAATATTTTTTATGCAGAAATTCCCACATCTGAATAGATAATACTACTGCTGAATTTCATACTGTTCGTCCAATAAATTGCTAGTAAAATGCCATAGTGGCTTTTCCTTGTCAGAATTTTATGAAAGTGCTAAAAGCTTTTGAATAAAAGAATATGATTCAAAAAATTGGTATGAAAACTTCAGCTAAAACATTTTCGATTATAGCAACAATACTAGTTATAATTTGAAACAGCTTCGGGTGCATTTTCGGTGATCAATTCTTTAAAATTCTTGAATTTGACCAGCCAGTGCAACATGTAATGAACTTCAACTGGAAAAGAATGAAAACATCCTCATATTTAAGAAACTATCTTTAAAACGTTTTTGAGAAATAAAACTTTCCTAAATAGCATAACTTATAGCAACAAAAAGAAAATGAATATTAAGTATGACATATAATGACATAGATATTAAAAGATATAATAACACGGATATTAAAAATAAAATCATATAAGTTGGTAATTAAGCTCAAACAAAATATTTACTGAAAATAGAAAAAGGCCCTTGATCTACATACTCTCAAAACATATAACAATCGTAAGTATGATCTCGAAATTCTTAGCCCAATGCAGAAAGGACTAGAGATCAGAAAAGTTGCCATAAATTTATACAAAACATCATATAAGTTTTGCACTTTTATTTTGCTTTAATTTGAGTATCAATTGATTAATATGGTATTAAAAAAAGAATTAATGTATGTGATACTTGTAGTCCTCCTTCAGATTTGGTTATTGATTACTTTTTCATACCTAATGCTAATTAAAATCGCTATTTCGTTTATGTTAATTCTCTGTCTAGTACTCATGGATTATTATTAGCAAAAAAGTCAAGATACTGTTTCTAGTTTCAGTGCGTTATCTTCATAAAGTTCGACAGAACTTTTGCTTTTAAATGATACATTTTAGCGCATACTTTCCTTGAACGCTTAGTGATGAAAATGTTATAAATTTCACAACAGTGTTCCTATACTTATTTATGAAAGTGCCTTTAGAATCTTCAAATGTAAACTTCATAAAGCAAAATAGAATACTTTTTGTAAGTTCAAGCAAATATTTAAATATCAACATTGGGACAACTAAGAAAGCGAAGAAGTTTGAGACCTTATCAGAATGCTGAGAAGTTAGACTTCGCAGTGAGGTTTACATCTGATTCATTGTTCTACATAATGAATGCTTGCAGCTGCCATAAAAAAATACAGCTGATGTTGAGATCACAATTAAATTCATCGCTGCAATTGTACCGAGGCCAAGTGATGACATACAGAACACATCCTGGAAATTCTAAACTAAGAAACACATTTCCACTGAATGTTTTAGAACCCATTTATATGGAACTTCAAAAATCTAAGTGTAAATTTTATAAAGTAAAACAGAATTGTTTTTATTAATCGAGGCAAATATTTATGCATCAACTGAAGATATAAAAGAGACCTGGTAAATACCGAAATTGTCATCAAACCAGCTAACTTTTTCAATTTGGTCATATCGAAGACTAAACTTCATTTCTAATCCAAATTCTTCTGCAAAACTGTGGTTCGTTACTTGTTGACAGAAGACAAACTATACAAAAATTATACAGATAAAATCTCAAGAACAAAAATTTCTCCGTTGACAAACGAAATCCACCGATAGTTAACATATTTTTCATTCTATTTTGCAAAGACAAAAAAACAAATTGCTTCATGACAAGCTAACTGTTTTAAAAAGTTGATTAATAAAGTTGACATTAGTCAGTGAATTGAAATCCATCAGCTAATGAATGAATTTTATACCAGAAATTTAACTACATAAGTAATAGTAAAATAATGACAAAATTTTTTAAAACACGAAAATTTTTTAGATAGATTAAAGCAAGGAAGTCAGAAAATTAAACATTAACAACACTTTTATTAAATGATGTTGTTCCACTGATTTCCATCAATTTTTGTTCGTTTATTTGGGAAGTGTTTTTAAATGAGGATAAAGTCCAGCTTTCCTGTATTAGCGGCTCTGGCTGCAATGAAGTCTGACGTCTTCGTCTTGGTGGTTCTGCACAAGTTGGAATCTAGAAATCAGACATCTCCCAATGTTCTTATTACCAATCAAAATAAACATATTATATTCTTTATTTCTTAAATTTCTTAAGACAGAAAGGTAGTTTGACATTTTAGTTTAGACTGAGTTAAGTAAGAAAAATTATTAAATTCCACACTGATTTATGCAAAAAATAAAGATAAAGTAACTGGAAATATAAAATATTCTCACAGAACATTATAAATATAGAGCATTTCTCTATTAGTGAATCTGTTATGAAAAATTGTTGAAAACAATATGAACTTCTTTTTCTCAGTTCCCACGATTAATAAATATATTCAAGACGTCTTCGTGCAATATTACTCAAAGAAAAGCAAACATTTGTTTACTGAACGAAATCCGAAAATTCACTTCAAAAAAAGAAAAAAGAACTATAGATACGGAGCAGTATTCCTGAGTCGGTTCTTTTACTGACACTGATATTTGGCAATCGAAGAATAAACTTTGTCGATCGGCATACTTATAAACATGTGCTTCTTTACCCGCCATTAAATCTGACACATATTCCAGATTTTGCAGTAAATATTTGTCTTTCGCACATCTGCATTAGAAAAACATGCTATGATGTTCAGACCAATCAGCATTTTAGATATTAAATTTTTTGAAATCTAATATCTAATCATTGCAGTCTTTCTTCGTCTCGTACTTTGTTATTTATGCTTTAATGAGAAAAGGAGAGAGGATTTATCACTTTGAAAAATCAAAGCGCTTGAAAAATCGAAGTTACCCTTGTTCATCAATCAGCTGAACCCGATCACCGTTACCGTCATCCACAAAGCAACTGTGCACCACCATGCAGAATTGGTTCTCGGTATCCGTCTCACATGTCCATTTGTGATAAACCTAAATTAAAGTCACTTCTGTTCACCATGCTAGCAAAGTTAATGAAGGTAATAAGTCACAGACAGAGTTTTCTGATTCTTTACGAATGGGATAAACAATGATAACAAACTGAAAGTGATTTATAATAGCAATAAAAATATTACCCTAATTCATTTATTATAGTCTGGATAATTAGACAATAAAATAATATCACAAAAATTGTCTCTTGAAGCTCACCATCTGTCCAATGACAGCATAAAATACTGGAGGTCCAGTAGGCGATCCATCTAGAATCTCATATTTACACACTGGCATCGGCACTTGCTCAGTTTGGAGCGGAGGAGGATTCATCCTGAAACTCGAAAACTGTTTGAAAAATATTAAATCAATTAGTTGTTATAATGATAAAATAACAACAGGTAAATTCAAGCCCGAAGTTATGACGAATATAACTTATACGCACCATTTTATTAAATGATTAAATGAAGTCTAATTCGCATGTCACAAGGGATTGATTAATAATAAAATCTCAGTCTTTGTTGTGCTTTTTGAAATGATTTAAAAAATGAAATTTTTGGATAAAATCTGAAAAGATGGTGTCAGTTTTGATTACAATATCTGATTAACTTACTTTACTTGTATTTGTTTCTCGAAGATTTTTTCTATTTCCATGTATAAACACTGCACCACATAAACACGGTCAATTTTGGTGAGAAAATCTGGTTGGAATGCCAGAAAAAGTGACGTTGTTATATACAAACCACGTGGGTTAGTCTGAAAAAAATTTCCAATAAAGAAAAAAATTACTCAACAATTAAATGATCAACTTCATTGTAATAAAAGGGATTGTTTTGTTTAATATAATGCATAGACTGTCCGTCTGAATTGTTTGGTAAGTGTCAAATCCTACCGATCGCTTTCTCTCAATATCACAACTTTTGAATCCGATTTTAATGGATGCATTTCGTCCTTTATCGTCTACTTTTTCAGAGCCAATTGAACGACATGACGGATCTTCTAAATGGTCTTCCACAAATATTATCCCTTTGAAAGTATTCCGTGTTTCAAATTGCACCTTAATTATTGCATTCATGAAAGCAAAATAAAGAGTTTCTTTTCTGTGAAAGTTCTTTTCATATATGACCGTTATATTCACTTCCATTTCCTTTTTTTCAATAAACAAATATTTTTGAAGCAAAACACCACGATTTAATTGAAAACGAAAGATTTCTGAAAATATAAGGGGATATAACAATACTTATTTTATCAATTTGAAAGACGCTAACGACTCGTTTTTTATATTCCTCAAATTAACAAATTTTCACACTGAAAATTCAATTAAATTTAATAACTTATAATCAACCTACTTCAATATAATTGTCGCCACAGTAAACATATGGATCACCGAGAATTCCGTTGTCCGAAATACTGGTTTTGATGATGTTCTGCAAAATTCATTTTTTCACATATATTAAATTCTATAGACTGAAAAGATATTTAGCTCAGAAATCAACATCAAGCATTTGCACTTTCACAGCTACTAGTAGTGTAAATCATTGCAATGGCAATGATTTATTTTTAAAGAACTAAGAAAAACTAATACATTAATCTTCGTCCAATTTTTGACCAATACCATTGCTGAACAAAACATGTTCAATTTATTTTGAAAAGTATTAAATAATTATTTTAGTTAATTTAGCTTAACATGTGGAAGGAAAAAAAAAATCAATGTCCAGAAAAGAATGACTGAGACGATTACTTATAAAGGTAATAAATCCATATAAATTTTTAGAAAAACAGTTGAATTTTAAAATGTTCCCAAGAGTAAATTTTGTTGTCAAGATGTCGCGAAATTACATTCATAGAGATCTTAAATATC